ATTTCGCTACTTGATAAAATCCGCCTCGACCACAGAGTTTCTATCTCATTTATTCGTCTTGTTTTCACAGGATCCCGTGCTTTTCTCCGGAACGCTACGTTTCAATCTGGATCCGTTCAATTCGTACGATGACGCAACCGTATGGGAGGCCCTTCGAATGGCTGATTTGAAGTCATTTGTAGAGGAATTAGCTGGCGATGCTGGTCTCGACATGACCGTGTCCGAGGGCGGGAGCAATCTCAGGTGCGCATAGTTCATACTCAACAGTACCTTGCATTTCACTTTAGGCATTTGGCTAAAAGTACTTAGGTGCATACCATATTTTGCCTCTATCATCTGTCACTTACCGTGCGCCACAAAGTGCTTCCCAATAAAGCCTTATCTGTGTGATAAATTATTAAAAATTCCGGTTGTCCTCTTAGTACGCATGTTAAAACGGATAATATACCAGGTTAAAACTCTGGGGCGGAAGGCCACAATGCTTTCCCCCTTCGTTCTCCAATGTTCGCCGCCCCCGTCCCCCGAGTCTTGACCTCGCAGCTGCTTCTGGCTAACCGATAACAGCTGCGTCCGCGGCCCCTGTCCTTCGGCATCCTGACGGCCAGAACAATCCCACTGACTAAAAGGCGTTCCGCCGAAACACGGCAGCCCCCACAGTTGACCTCAGCTTAATCACACACATATACGCGCGTCAAAGAAAGCACGCCTGCGTAAGGGTCGCTTCAACGTGCCCCCTTCCACGGATGCAACAAGGGCCGCAATGCTCGACACCTCTTTGGGCAAATGCAAACACACCAATAGGAAACCACTTGAACTCGCTTCACAGTCACGTAAAAGCAGCTGCCATGATCACATCTCACACAACACCACACTCTCTGACACCCTCGGGCAAGACTGGACGCAGTCAACACACAATAAAACCCTCATTCTGGTGACTACTGTCTTAAACCCACCACCAGGGGGTTGGGCCTGATGATTAAAATGATTAAAAAATGAACATAACTCAGACCGCTCCAACTCTTTGGGTGGTTTCTAGTTAGTTTACACTACTTATTCGGTCGTTCCTCAATCTCATTTCTGTTGATAGTATGTAGTTTCCAAACTTCGCGTGTTGGAAAAGTTTCAACATTGCGTATGTCAGAAGGCCGTGGTAAAGTACTTTTTATGTTGAATCATTGCTTTTGCAACCAGAGGGTTGTCCACAAAGACAAGAAAGCTCGAAATAGATATTTCGGGTTTGGTGGCGATCGTCAACTAGCCATTTACGCTCCTTAGTTTGGAAGACCTGATGTTCGAATCTAGTTTCCTCCCACCTTGAGCGTTAAGTAGCCCAACGCTCTACCCCCTGATCCATAGGCTCGTTGGTGGTAGCTAATAGTATTATGCCTTCCTCATCCGTGCTCGCTCCTTAACAGGGTATTTTTGAGTCAATTTTCCATACGCTTCTGTCAGGTAGGCGATTTTCTTATCACTTTCTTCACTGAGAAGCTCCATTAGTCGGTGGATATTTTGTGGGTACTTCTCTCACCGATATTCAACCTTGTGTTCTCTATTTTCTTTACTAGTTGCCTACCCCATTTATCAGCAAGTATCTGTTTTATTGCCGCTTACTCAATTACTAAGGAGAAGAGTGTTTAATCCTTTTTCCTCTTGACTTTAGCCAGGGACAGCGACAGTTGGTATGCCTGGCCCGTGCCCTGCTGCGTCGCTCACACATCCTGGTCCTAGACGAAGCTACCGCAGCTGTTGATCCGCAGACCGATCAACTCATTCAGACCACTGTCCGTCGAGAGTTCAAGTCCAGCACGGTGCTGACAATTGCCCATCGGCTGAACACTATTCTTGACTATGACAGGTGAGCTCTCATCTGCTCTTTTGGCTATTCAAGGAAAAAATGTAACCTTTCAAGAATTTTACTCGCTGATAACATTGCCGGCACGGACTGAAATGACTGGAATGGCCATTTCTGGCTTATTAGCCG